ACCCTCTCTAACCAAGATTTCCGCGCGTGTGCGAATGGACCCTGATGTCTGCCTGGCGTCGCAAGCACCCCTTCTTATCGCCCGGCGAGGTGAAGTGGGTTTCGATACACCCTCCTGGAGTATCAAAGTGAGACTTGCATTTGCGCAACTGCTAGTGCATTCCAAGGTTGCGCAAACATGTCATTCCGTCGCGGTTGATTTCAAAAGTGCAATACTGAGCCACAAAGCCACCTTTCTGACATACATGACCTCAGCCCCCGAATGAAACCAGGACGACATCATCGTCAGCTGGACTGGGGCCCTGGTCGGATGTTTCTGATAACAGTCGGAGTGCTGGGGGTCGCTGCTCATGACGTCTTATCAACATGGTTCACGACGGCAGAATTCTGATCTTCGTCAGGGAGGATTCCAAGGTTGCGATGCGGGGCAAATGATGGCAGACGTCAGGGTCCAGGCAGGAATCTTGGAATCTCACACGGGACGATGGGAGTCAAGGGTCTGCCAAGTTGGGGGCGGGCGACGAAGGTACCGTGATCGGTGGTGTTCGAGAATACGTCTACTGTGATGGTTGCCTTGGTAGGAGATTACTAAGAGTGGCCTGGATGGCTGGTAGCGATGGAATGTGGTGTTGCGGGGTACTTGCGCTGCACGGCAGCCGGCAGATAGGCAGCGGCCTCGCCGGCTGTGCTCGATCCTCAGCGCCGTCTGCCACAACCAGAACTCAATAGAAATTCTCGCCACTACCAAAAATACAACCCTGAACCCCACGGCGATATTGCCACAATGCGAAGGATCTCAATAGTAGGAGCCTCACGATAATAGCAACTGTCTCGCTTCTTCCCGCGACACGAAGATCGAACGAGAATGTACGAACGTTATTGCGCGTCCGCCGCAGAACGACCGAGCTACCAATATCGGACGTCACATATCGTCAGCACATGTTTGTCATCGAGCGATGGTGGAAAGAGTAGACTGCAAACCTCAGGAGAGATGGGGAATTGATGAGCTGCACTTCGCACTGTCCAGCCCAAAAGGCCCCGCCAACCCCTCATACTAGCCAGACCTGATAGCGACATCTACAATCCAGAACACTTCTCCATCTTTATCGCGCATTGACAACTGTCCCAATATCGCGGCAGCTATCTGTTCTGATCAAGGACGTTCCCGACTGCGCATCCCCAAAGCCCGTGGGTGATGCCGGTAAGCCGCACTCCAGCCAGCCCCCAGCCCCACCCTGTCTATAATCAGGATACCATTGTAACTGGCCAGACGAGCAGAACAACGACAGTTCAACGAATGCGCGACTCCATCATGGATAATTGTCGATTGCATATGATATGCATATTCTTATTCTCCAGTGGAGCAGGCCGCGACTCCATTGTCACCGGTCAATATGCAGCTAGCCCTCTAGTCCACGTCGTAGTAGGTGCAGCGCGCATGCATTGCAGCCTCACCGGTCAACCAGAACGAGTACCTGCACGAAACCCACAGCACGCCCGGTCTCGAATCAACCATATCATCACGCTCCTGCATCGTCGGAGCTGCCCGTGTCAGTGTTTCAGGACAAAAACAGTGCGCAAGCTGTATTGCCAGCTCACCAGCTCCCCCGCATTTACCAGGAGCTGCCCTTTGCCCATCCGGCGAGGCTGGTCCTGCGCTGGCCAACGTGTCTAGCTGGATTGCCGTGTTCGTCGACTCACACACAGAACAGCCGCCAGCGCCAATATTCACCCTCGTCCGAACCCAACCTCATCCCAACCACCCGATCCGATATGCTTCTCCACAGTCCAATACTTTAGTATTTTCTAATGTAGTCCGGTGCAAATGTCAACGTGTCGACCTCGCTTGCTGGGGTCCTGCCCCCGAGGAGTCATAGCGGCCCTGCCCAACTGTGGACTTTTGTGGTCAATCTTCGCCTGCTATGGGTCCGTAGCCGAGTGTTGATGGGTACGTCGCTGAGCTGGACAGGGCTACGCTGGTCGCAGGTACTGGCAGAAAAAGTGAAAGTGATTGGGCAATGGCTTGGTCGTCGAGGTAGGTGTTCGGTGGTCGATGCGTGGTGGTTTGTCGCATGTCCGCGTGTTGCGGGAAGCTGTCGTTCGGTGGGTGGTGGTGGGTGAGGCGCAGCACCGCGTTCACAGGGCTGAGCCATCAGATGTCCGTCCAAGGCGTCAAGCCACTGCTTCGATGCATCACCACCGGTCAAAACGCCATCGCACCTGATCCTGCGGCTGATGAAAAATCGATAGCAAACACACGAAGCCGGCGCCCTCCGACACGCATTTGTAATTCGTAAGCCGCAACGCGCCCATCTCCCCATCGCCAAAACGGCAAATGCGACGACCATTCTCATGACCTCCCTCCCTTGGGGCCAAGTCTCGTATTACCGCCTAGTCTCAGGTACCGCCGCCGCGCCAGCGCCAGCCTTATGGCCCCCATGCCATCGCGCCATCGCGCCATCGCTTCCTTCCTTCCTCCCGTCGATTGCAAAAATAGCCCCCCGACGTTCATGCGCCGCATGCTGCGCCGCCTCCATGAGTCCATGTCTGTTTCGACATCAAACATTGCGCTGAGCCAATCGCAACAGGCTTTTCTGCCAGACATGGGTCCGGTTCCTGAGATGTGCGAAGGCGCCAGGTACGCGTGGTTAGGGTCGTTTTACTGGGTTGCGGTTGCTGGGGTAGAATGAACGGGTGGTATGAGGATGGGGCTGGGAGAATTGGGGGTTGAGACACGGGAGAGGGTGTGACGACGAAGACATCGATGATGGGAATGATGTGCGCGATTGCCTTGAATGCTGATGTGGACAGATTGCGAAGCTGTCGTTGTTGTTGATCCGGATGTTGGTAACGTGCGGATGCTACCTTGGGGCAGAAAGCTTTTCGTCCTTGTTCGATCACCATGCGGGTTCGAACGTCTACCATGCTTTACTGCTGTGCCTGACATGTGAGAAGCGCCACGCTTGATGTAGCAGAAGGACTACTGCGCTCAGTGACGACATAGGCTATGTGAGAAGACCCTGGCGTGCGATGCGCGAAGCTCATACAATCGCACTTGCGGCGCTGCAAACCGCGTAGAGAACACCACTGGGCATGCACGATCAATTAATACCTGCATCTAACGTCCAGTATTCAGCCGGCATGATGGAAAGCTGTGATGCTGTACCCTAACCTAGCACCATGTTGTGTTAGAGGCGCTAAGAGATGTTGTATTTGTAACAAGTGCATGTCTACAAGACTTCCCCACTATGAACGGGCAGAACCCCTTAGACGCGCATTTCCAGGTCTTCAATTACGTTTCAACTCGACGATGCAGAAACGAATGTATTGTGTATATGAAATATGTGTTGTAGAAGTGAATGTTGGACGCCTCTCTTTGGAGTGCGTGTAGCCGAGCGTCTCTTAGTCACGCCATCCCCTGCTTACTCTACAGCATCCTTCCGCAAGCCCCCTTGATACTCAGCTAGAACCGCGTCTTCTATAGCTGATGGTCTTAAGCAGCTTCGTCGACAGTAATGACACCATCATTGTTCGTGTCGTGCCTTTATCAAGTCAACGCCACACCCAATAGCAACAAGAAGAATACTAGCACTTACTCGTTAAACCAATTGACCCATACCTCACTATCTCCCTTGACCGCCATATACTCCAGATAGCGGTCCAGAGTGATACTGCCCGCACCTTCTGTATCAGCTTCCATGAAAGCCGTCGTGGTAGCGTCCGAACGATCAGCCAGGTCGAATGCCTCGGGGAGGTCCCGTTTCCTGTGACGACAGCCGCCTTTGCAGGCGCAGCAGAATATGTTGCACTTTCCGTATCCGCAGCATGGTGTACTTCGAGTGCCATCTTCACATCGGACGTCGTCGTCGCCGTTGCAGCACGCGGCGGTGGCCAAGGGAAGGAGAACGGTGAGGCATGCGATCCAGGACAGGGACAACATCGTAGCTTGGGGATTTCAGATTGTGGTTGGAGTAATGTGGGTATGATAACGAGGCTTTTGGTGTAAAGAGTGATTCTGTTCTTTTGTGGTGGAAATCAAGCTCGACGGCGAAGGAAGAACTTTATAGATCTTCCAAAGTGAGAATTGCCGTCATGTTGTTTTCTTGCTGCGACAGGTCAGTTACTCAGGTAGCCCCACACAACACCTTTTCGTTCAAAGTAAATTGTGTTTAATTTGTTGCTTTGCAGCGACGACCCCAACAGTCAACATGATGGTACTTCATTTAGGCTGAGTTGTGTTTACTTTATGACATTGCAGCGACGACCTTAAGCAGTCAGCGTGATAGTACTTCATCTGCAGTCTTCTATTGGTACCAAATGGACTGTCGATAGATCTATCCTATCGCCCATTGACCTGCAGTTCTTCTCACATGTTGCAGATCTGACGTTCACTCGTATCATATGAACAGCCTATGTCGTCACTGAGCGGGATACATTGCTTCTCAGAGGTAAGGGAACGTACAGCCCATGCGTTCGCGTGCCGTTGTAAACCTGGCAGCTTGCTGAGGGATTGTATTCCTGGTCTCCAGGCAGAGAGCTACCACTTCTGCATCGATGCGTTGAGTGCCTTCTAATCTCGTTATCGCGAGGACGAGTTTGGTAGCTGAGGGGAGGTATTAAATTGGCAATAGTAATATGAAGAGACACAGATTTTAGGCTAAGACAGCTAAGCACTGTGCTCCGCCACTAGCGCTGTCTTAGTATTGCGGCACAGTCTGCGGGCGGGCGGGCCTGTCCGCATGTTCTCCAGGAAACTGTCAATTTACATTCAAATCAGATTCCCGTACACAGTCGAAGTGGACTGCTTCGATTACGCTCGTGCATAACATTCAGCGCGCAGGGGCAGGCGCACATCGTAATATTTTCGTAAGGGATGAAGGTCTTCTGCCGACGTTGGGAGCCTCACCGTTCTTAGCTACCCGAATGGCCTCAGCCACACACATGCAAACGCCGCAGAACCCAGAAATATAGAGCATTGTCAGCTTGCTTCATGCGCGCTGTTCAAAGACTCGCACCAAGCGGTGCTTTCCCGTCAAGCTTAAAGTAACCTGGTTGCAGGTTCTGGAAAACTTGCATCGGGTCATACCTGTGCGATATAGCCCTTAGTCTCGCCATATTCTCCTCTCCATACCCAGACACCACAGGCTCATATCCGCTGCTATACGGCATGTAGTAGTACTCGTTATCGACGCCCAGCTCCCTAGCCATACCCTTGGACGTCTCGATATAGGACTGAGCAGCCCTCATCATCGTTGTGTCGTCGCTAGACTCATTCCACGCCATGTACACCAAGACATGAAAGAACGGGCCGTTCTCGGGGTACAACCCGAGGGCGTTACCACCTTTCTTTTGCATCGCTTGTAGCGCTGGCTTGGAAAACGCTTGGAATGCAATGTTCACGGAGACGGCAGGCAGACCGGGTGCCACCTCAAAGAATCTGTCGGTCATCTTTTGAATGAGCTTGGCGCTCATTTTGAATGACGCAGACCACATGGAGGTGCGGAAACCAGATGGCATATCGTCGCTTCGGTGTGGCGTCAGATTTTCGAGGGTACTGTTGCTCGTCTTGTCTTGCATGAATGGGATGCTGAGATACTCCCTGGCGATTTCAGGAGGGTTCGAGAGGTCGACTGGGAGAAGGTATTCGAGTTCGGTAAACGCGAGTTGGTAAGTATCGTATGTTGTAAATGACACTACGTGTGCGAGCTTCGTATCTTCTTCGGCATTATTGATGGCGTTCTCAAAAGCAGTGATCAATGCGGGAGTGGTGCTGGGGTCGTGGATACGCATGCCACCCCACATGGGTGGTTGTACAATAGTCTCATAGTGGAAGGTTGTGACGATGCCAAAGTTGTTTCCGCCACCGCGTAGGGCCCAGTATAGATCGGGGTAGCGACTGGGAGACGCGTTGACAATGACGCCAGACGCGGTAACGACTTCGTAGGACGCGACATTGTCGCAGGCAAGACCGTATTCGTTTGTCAAATCGCTGATGCCTCCACCTAGAGTCAGACCACCAACACCGACTTGTGCGGCCTAGAAGATGTAAGCGCACTTCATGGAGAGTAGCTTGACGTCCGGATTGAACGTACTCGGCCACCGACTATCGTCAAGTTGTACGGTGTGAGATACCGGTATGCATCTATCCACCGGTTACCTGGCCCAATAGCGACAGTCTTCTGGTCCGCAGACAGCTTGCGCACGGTAAAGTCTTTCAAGTCAACCGTAATACCTCCATGGATACTAGAAGCACCGGGAAACGCAGCATGCCCACCACTCTTTACCGCAAAGGGGCACTGGGTAAGGCGAGATATCAATACCAAGGATGACACTTCAAGAGTGGCCTTGGGAGTAAAGGTGCAATACGGCACAACGGCGGCTTGTTGGTTCGACCAGTACTCGGCATACTGACCAAGGACAGTCTTTTCTTTACCGTAGACGACTTCGAGCGAGTCACACTGTCGCGGAGATTAGCTCATGCTGCAGAGAGGCACAGCGCCAAAACCTACTGCGACGGAGCAGCCGCTTAAAGACGATCGGATGGCCAGACCCGCCAATTCAGGCATTGCGGAGACGTTGACCCCATTCTGGATGAGGGCTTCGGTTACATTGAAATCAGGGGCTTCGAACGTATCTTGAGCCGACACCCTCACGATGGCGGCAACGGTACCACAAGCTATCGCCGCGATGAGTTTCATGGTCGAGAGATGAATCGAAAGACTGAGATGGGATCAAGGACGACGTTAGCTGGCCCTTTTACCGTCAGAACTTGACCGCAAATGTACGCTCATGTACGAGTGAGTAGGCAAAAAGTCCGCATGCACCAATATTGGGCGAACGGCTCCAATGCGAGCTTCCGGTCGTGCATTAGTACGCGTTGAAGGAGGTCCCGATCCCACTCATAGGATCGCTTCCCCGGCTCTGGTAGTTTGATAGCCGCTGGCCACGTTCACAGCGCCCGACGGATGACGAATGTACACTGGTGCCTCCCGCGCGATGAACTTCTGGTACGCTTCCGAGACATAATGGCTATGGAATTCCTGTGAAGCAGCCAAGGAATCATGCAAGTCGAACGAGTGATTGATGTAGAGATGAGTTGAGTGGGGCGCGCGAGCAGACACGGCAGGTGCGACCTCGGATGGGCGCGTCGGCTGAGGCCCGTGCCGCTTTGCCAAGGTGGCCCCGTCCTCGCGCGCATCATTGCAGTTTTCCCCCTTCAGGACTCAATCAAAACATCGTTCTTTGCGACGCGCCCGCAAGGTACTGGACTGTAAAACAAGCATCCTTATCGACAGGGTAAAACGGCGAAGCACATATGGCAGGTCACGGGTCGGGGCTTTGCGCGCACGCGGCGGCACTATGCTAGCACTCCTTACCTTCGCGGATGCATTCTTCCGCGGCATGAGCAAGTCACATTGTCGCGTCTGGACTATGGCTCTGCAACTCTATTGCACATACCGCTCTGGTAGCAGTGTCCAGATAGCTAACGGGACAGCATTAAGAGAGAGTTCTGCGATATTTCGGACACCTCCAGAATTGCCAACGGCCGCTCCTAACATCTCTCTAGACATCAAGCGCTCACGACTCTAGCATCTTGCCGTAACGATGCTACTTGTCGACGAGCCAAGACAATTTCACCAGCAATGACGAACAGAATGTATCGTGGTGTGGTGTACACAACACAGCGCCTTTGATGAGCGCGGGCGGTACGGAGCGTCTGTCGACCAAGCTGGGCACCAACACCAAGAAAGATTGCCTGGATCACTAATCACCTACCGGAACACCGGACCATCGATCGGCCTCACTGCTACAATCAGAACCTAAGTTGAATACCAAGAAGCCCGCACCCAATGTTTGAAGTCACATGATCGATCTAGCTTACGACCTCGCAAAGTGCACAGCGTGAACGTCGCGTATATGCGTCCTAGACATTAGCAACACGTATCAAGATTCAGATCAACATCTTCCATTGGATACCTTCTCTTCGCAGGATGGCGCTACATAGCTCAAGCCGACGATGGCCAGCAACCTAATCTTTACATCTGCTAGCCGAAGGTTCATGTCAAATAAGGCACACAACGTCGCTTAGCTATCTATATGCACTCTGCCGGGCGTAACAGGGACGCAACATGAACAACCACTCGTAAAGCTTCAATTTCCACAAGTTCGTCGCCGGATGCCGATTTACCGTGCAATAAGTATGCGACGGCAATGTTCGAGGCTCGATCGGGAGGGTGATGTGCGTGAACAGCAAGGCTTACAGCAAGATAAGGCATGTAAGCAGGATATGACAGAAAGTAACAATGGTACCGTACCACTCATTCATCTTTCCGCTAAACGTGGGATGCACGAGGAGTATTGATTTTGGCATGCGAGGGAATAGCAAGCTGTATCCAGTCCTGGAGTGACAGAATATGCCAGCGTTCGCTGAGATGTGCTATAAAAGACGGACGAGGAAGCTATGAAGGGGATACACACAGCAACTCAACCTCGGTGAATTCCAAGCATCGACCTCTTTACGCTACTCAATTTGCGTACACCATGTCCGCCATGGAGGGGACGTCGTCAGACATGGGCGAGGGCACGGATGTCTCAACGCCCATCGACAATCATCCCACATCCAAATTCGCCGCAAGCCCATCAAGGGCCGCAAAAAAGATCCTTTACCATGCTTACACCTTGGTCCTCTTCACGTGCGACAACCTAAAAGACGTGGTGATCCCTCCCGCAGCTTTCGGCGTGCTCGCCACTCTCTCCGGCCCAGCATTGGATTTACCATCCCAAGACGGTCTCGCGGTGTTGCGAAGAGTACCAACAACGTTGACGTGGCTTTGGCTGATGCTGTTGCCATGCTGCCTTCAAAACCAGCGTCATGAATCCTCAGTCCAAGAAGACGCAATCAACAAGCCCTGGCGTCCAATCCCAACAGGAAGGATTAACACAGCACAGACTACGAATCTGATGATTGCTGCGTACCTGGCACTTGCGCTTGTCAGTTACCAGTTCAACGTAGTGCCAATTTACGTCGCATGGGTTGTCTTCAACACCTTATACCACGATTATGGCGGAAGCGACTACAGCGGCGTCTCGCGCAACGCCATCTGTGCTCTTGGCCTCATCTGCCCTTTCAGCGGCGCTCTAAGCATTGCCCTTGGCCCGGATACTGCGATGAGCTACGCAGCATGGCAATGGATCTTTCTGGTCACACTTGGTATCATCGGCACAACGATTCATGCCCAAGACTTTCGCGACGAAGCCGGCGATCGAGCCCGTGGCCGACGTACCATTCCGATTGAGTTGGGTAGAAGACGTGCGCTGTGGTCTGTTGTGGTGGCCGTCGTTTTCTGGACATTTTATGCACCGCTGGTTTTCTTGGGTGCTCGCTGGGAGGCGGCGGTAGTTTCGGTTTGTCTTGGTGGGCTTTTGGTGGGTACGGCTATGCGAGCGGTCGCTATACAGGATGGAAGGTTGGATCGACAGATGTACAAGCTTTGGTGTTTTTGGATGTGCTCTTTTGGCGGACTGCCGCTCTTGGCTACTGTTTTCCCTCTGCGAACATAGTCAGGGTCTTGCCGGGCGCCGATACGAGGCATCCTCTACCTCGCACGTGCAACACCACCACCGAATGCAATGCTCATCAGAGCGTCAGTCTCATCTCGAAGCTGTAGTGACGGATCGTCTCTTCATGTTTGCGGAATGCAGTGATTATGAACATCTGCATCGCCTCCAAAGGGCAGGCAGCTGTATCGCGGCAATCTCCAAAGCGAGGCGGGGAAGGGCCGAGTGACCTAAAGCGGCAACGTTATGCGGCTCCGCACCTCCAATCCACAATACCATCAGTATTGCGTGCGGTCGCACCACATATTGGGGCGGTTCTTTCTTGATCGGTTGCGCAGTCCCGTGAGGGGGTGATAGTCTCGATGTGGAACGCAGACCCGTATATAGTGTGCGCCTAGGTACCTGAGTATCTGCGACTTTGTCACCCTCCAGATAACCTCAAACAACCACCTCTTATTCCAAGTAAATCATCGATAAATTAGTGTTCACAATGCCGTCCATCCATCCCGCCATCGACAACGGTATCAAGAAGGGCGACCCCAACTTCTCCGGCGGCAAGCTCTACTGCCATTGCCCCACCAAGAAGGTCGAAGTTACCCTCGCTGGCAACGTCGCGCACAACCACGCCTGCGGCTGCTCGAAATGCTGGAAGCCAAAGGGCGCTCTCTTCTCCGTCGTTGGCGTTATCTCTAAAGACAACGTCTCCGTAACCGCCAACGGCGACAAGCTGCACATCATCGACGAATCAGCGGCCATCCAGCGCAATGCCTGCAAGCAATGCGGCGTCCACCTCTTCGGTCGCATCGTCGTCGACCATCCATTCAAGGGCCTGGACTTCGTCCACGTTGAACTCAGTGACAAGAAGGGATGGCAAGAGCCGCAGTTCGCCGCCTTCGTCAGCAGCATCATCGAGCAGGGTTTCAATCCGAAGGAGATGGACGCCGTACGCGAGAAGTTCAGGAAGGAGGGCCTGCAAACATATGATGTGCTCAGCCCAGCTTTGATGGATCTCATCGCCACCTACACGGCGCAAAAGAGCGGGAAGCTGTCTTCGAAGTTGTAGGGTTGGGTTGCATGGTTCGGCGTTCCTGGTGTGGGCGGTGGGGATGATGTATTAGTAGATGACTAGGAAGACTTAGAGCGAGGCTTGGTCTGATAGATGTTCAAGAAAATCGTACACCGTAAGGATTGTCAGTGTGGGACGTGTGGTGATATATGTAATATTGCATACTACTGAGCACCGTGATCGCGCGCTAAGGCTTCCTAGCAGTGGGATTGAGAAGGCCACATGAGTGAACTCTTATATCATGGCTACATTGCTTCCATTGAGGAAAAGCATCCATTATCGCATGCGCATTGTTGTACCTAGGTAGTTACGAAGACGACGCTTGTATTGCTTCTGTAGTGGCGCCGGGAATACCGGTCCCAGGTAGCCCCGGAACCTGGCAGCCTGGCAGCCTGGAAGACACTGGATGCCCAGGTGGTGCCACCAACCTTGCTCGCGCGGGGAACAAGTCCTCAGACGCTCGCAGCTAGATCTTCGCAGCGCTTCTCCACCACGCCGATTATACCCAAAGATGAACGATCGTGAAACTTACTTCTATCGATGCTATTCGCAAACCAGCGCTGGCGGCCTCATCTCTGGCAAAGGTCCAGGGCAAGCACGACCCTTAGGCGACAACCTTCTCCCTGAGTTCATCAATCATCTGAATCTAAACACAAGAAAGCCGACTGCCCTCGTTTCAGTCAGTAGCCGTGTAATCGATACACTCCGACGCGCTTTCAACAAATACTACGAATACAGAGAAGACCCCAGCCAAATCTGGATCGCGTTCATCTTCGTGCCTAATGCAGACGAGCATGTCTATCATCATGCTGAGGGTCTAGCCGAGAGATTCGAGATGAGGGAATCTAGACTGTTGCGATACGAGTACCTGTTCGAATGGGAAATACCACAGAAATACTTCATTCATGACGTCTCTGTCAAGACGCTCATGAAGCGCGGATTCAACATGCGCGAGTTCCGCGTCAAGGACGATCGCGGCGGTGTTACACTCCCATCTATCCCAACTTTGAAGAAAGATTTCGCAAAAGCGATCTTCGGATCATCGGACCACGCATACGAAGTCGGCATATACCTAGGAAGTCTGGCCCGTTGTTTCGGAGCTCGTTCGCCATCACGCCAGATCACGCTTCAGCTTCAACAAGATTGCTTTCCCATAACTTCGGTCAACCACGACGATCAGGTATTCAGGCTGTCATACGAGGATGGTTCCAGAGTGCTTATTGGGTTTGATGATGTTCGTGCCATCGAAGACGGTGTTGACGTGGTCTTGCTCGATTGGTGGCTGACAGATCCCGATTTCTGCGCCGCATACGAAGATCATCTGGCTTGGGCCGAGCAGACAGGGGCAGACGTCGAGTCTGAATGGGAGCTTCACAAGACAGAGAGGCAAATCGAGAAAGCTGCTGTTGAGCTAGGATTGTGAGTGGGAGTAGCGGTTTCCAATAGTAGCAAGGCGTTATGGCGACATTGACTTACCCTGTGTAGTCTCTTGCATTCGTTCGAGGCATATCTTGTCGTAGCTGGAGAAGACTTGGTAGTGGAAGAAATTAAAGCGTTCGTTAAAGACTGGGTATCTACAAAGCCGCACACTCCTGCTGCGTAAGCGCATTCGCATTAATAAACTCCACCTTCGACTCCCCAACCTCAATATCAAACGTCGAATCCAACCCCCTCTCACTCAAAACCGTCGTCGCAGAGTAGTACACATACTCCGCCGTCTCCTTGCCCGCGGGCTTCATCTCGACAATCGTTGGTGTAAGACGAGGAATAACAAGGCCCTGGACCTTGGTCTTCTTCGAGACGTTGAGCTGTGGTGTAGCACCGGTCTGGAGGAGGGACTTGGAAACGGCTGCGGTGATGGTCATCTTCCACTCGCCTGTTGTGGTGTCCTTGGCTGTGCATGATTGTGCATTCTGGTAGAGGACGTCGGGGTTGATTGGGTATGAGCCTGTGCCGCCGTTGTCGTAGGTCTTGTCGTTGACGCGGATGGTGAAGGAGTCGAAGGCATCGGTGGCGTTGAGTGTCTGGGTGAATTCGAACCACTGGAACACTTCGTCTAGGTATCCAGAGGACGTTCCTAACTTGTAGGTAGCGCGGTTGGCGACGATCTCGGCGGTTGCGCTGCCATTGCGCGAAACTGGAATGAGAGAAGCTGTGAGCGTGTTGCCGTCGCGGCCGGTGACTGGTGTGGTTCGGACACGAAGACGTCCTGTTAACTCGACTGCTCCGTCCTTGAGTTGGTATGATGTGATGTAAGGGCGGATGTCTGCGGGCTCCATGGGCTCCGTTAGTGTGACATCTCCTGGCACGAGGTGAATCAGTTTCTCGAATGCAGCTTCACACTGCGACTTGAAATAGGCCTTGTCTGCAAGCTTGCGCATAGTCGCGTTGTCGTCGGCAAGAAAGATGCGCTTGTCGGAGTTCAAAGTGTTGTTGGCGTTGACGACCAATGGGTTGGCTGTCGAGTTGTTGAGGTACTCTGTTACCACAGCGTTATCCATCTCTCCGCTGGTGGTATCGAAAGTCGCCTTGTTCTCGGCGGTGACGGGACCGGAGACGATCTCCGGGTGATCGACTGAGTGAACACCACCAATGCTGTGACCACAAGCAATCAAAGTGATCATCTCCTTCTCCGTCAAACTGGCAGTTTCAAATCTCTTCCTTGTGGTGTCAAGGTCGGTGTGCGCTTCCGGTACGCCTTTGATGCCAGCCTCTGCCGCGTCCTTGCGGCCCAGTCGTAGAGGCACGCGCATGTCAGCGCAACGAGCCACAGACATGACCAATGACAAAGCCAAAACGTCGGCTGCGGAGCTCCGGATGTTGACTGAACTGGCCATATCGGATAGGGTGTTGTTCAACGCGGCACCGAGATTTTCAGTTCTGTCGAGTTCGTATTGAATCGAGGCGTCCAAGCCTCCGATTCCGGTTGAGGCATCGTGGGTGACAGCGTCGTGGAAGTTCGTTCGCACCCATTCTGCGGCCTTTTGGATGCCTGGTTGGCGAGCGCCGAATGAGCAGGTCTGGACCTCTGTTGTTGTGTAAGTCTTAAGCGAGATATACTGAGAGAAAAAGGTACATACGATCTGAGAGTTCTCCATTCCTGATGTACCCAGATTGGAGATACAGTAGGTCATCGAGCTGGTCGTACTTGCTGGGCCAGACGTAGGCTTGACAACTCGGGGCAAGCAGCGCGAGGCTGATTAGTTGGTTTCTCCTCATGATTAATGTGTATGGATATTTTAACGAAGGACTAAACGAATGTCGAATGATGATGGTGAAGACCGTTGCGCGTAGAAGCGGTATATAAGGCCTCTAGAATGCGCAATGCTATTAAAGGGTACCGGTACGGGGCTTCTTAAACGGCGCATGATCAATGCGCATACGGGAAAGGCTGCCATAGTGCCCGTTGCAGCGACTAAGTTCGTGTTCAGGATACGATGTAGGATGGAGCATGGAAGGTGTGGGGTTGCGGTTACTCTCACCGAAGAGCTAAGGACAGCTTCGTCTAGAAAACGATCTTAGACCATTGTCATCTAATTTTGGCATCACGAACCCATGCATGATTGGTATTTCCTTCTAGCCAATTGGTCCTGAAAATCTCCGGGTCGTGCACGCGACAGGGAGTGGTCTGGGTTCGCCTTCTCTCGGCGGAATTGCCGACGGATGCAGGGACCTATTGATTTGGTGGAGCATTCGACTTGAGGACTGTACAGTCTGTTGAACACCACGACGACTGAGACGCGTGGGCGTTTGCTGTTACTGCTTTCCAATCTGTTCGCGACGACGCACGAAAACTTCATCGTGTAGTATGCGATGCCGTTCGTTGAATGAGTTCCGCGCGAGCCTGACTTGCGAAAAGGGGCGATATCCTAAACCGAGGCATGATGGCTAGCAAGGCTATGCATGCGACGTCCCCATTGTTCTCTGGCTTTGCTTATCGTACGAGGAGTGCACTAGTCCGACGTCTTTGGCGAAATCCGTTCGGCGGGTATCAGCGTGCATGTGTATTGTTGTTCCTTCCATGTTTGACAGCTTCTGGCAGGTGCGACAGCTGACAGCTGAAGTCTGGCATCACGATCCCTTATATTCGCAAGGAATGGCGATGCGAAAAGAAGGGGCGGCGCTAGTTTGCGAGCCTTCTTCAACCGTGAAAGGATGCCGGTGGCAGAAATCAAGGCACAAGGTTTGATTGAAGAAGCTGGTGGGAGCTCTGAGCGGAAGGACGCCAGGGTTTGGCTTGGCGGAGTAAGCTGAGTAAGCAAATCTCTCCTTCTTCCTCCAGGTCTGTCATCTGCCCACAATGAAGAGACAAGAATGATTGAATGATTGAAACATGGCTGTAGATCTTCGAATTCATTCACAGTCGATTGTTTCAACTTCCACTCGCTTCCGACGCCTCATCCTTGCACTGAAGGTGTGAAGGGCGCAAAGAGCTCGCCTGATAGCAAGCCAGACTGGACATCGATGGAACATTCATGATTCACTGTTTAGAAAAAAACATCAAATAAGATCTTCACATATGTACAAGCTGTCCGTACAGATGATGTACGTCGTCCGACCTGACATCTCATCACGAAATCGGATGGGTGTAGAACTCAGTCACCGCTCCTTATAGGATTTACCATGGACATGTTATATACGCAGACCTTCGACAGCCGCACTGATGATACAGGTCGAATATATAGCCTCGTATACGCACTATACCATGTGCTTCTGGAAAAGCGTAGGTAGCATGACATGCACTTCAGCGATGCATCTGGGCAGTCGCTTTCATTGTTGCGACTTCGAGATTGAAACGCAGGGTACATCAGTTCGAGTGAATGTCAAAACACGGGCTGCTGTGCGTTCAATCTTCATGCATACGGTCCGATGGCGACATTGTTCAGTCACACGCCTCTCCTCGACGCGACATGGTCTCGCCAGCTCCTATTTGATCGCAGTCTCGTACAGCAGTTGGCGACTCTGCACTTACGACCTCACTGAGATCTGTTGAAGCGCAACCACGACCGTCAGGCACTTCTCTTCATCGAACTCTACCATGACACCCAATGCGCAGCGGTCACGGTCTTCGACCCCCGAACCGGTTATCAATGCGGTAATCGAGGATATATGCAAACTATGGGGCATTGACGATGCCTGGGAAGCACTCCCGAACGGCCTGAGCCACAACCACGTCAGCAAAGCCAAAGGATGCCTAGGATGGGGCGAGGAGTTTCTCGTCCTCCTTCGAGATCTGGCAGGCTATACGCCAGGCAAGCTGACGGAAGTACAACGCATGATACAAGACCGAATTCATCTTGGCCGGGGAACAAAAGCCAGTCGCCCTACAGGTGCCATGAAAGAGGATATCCTGGCGCTGATTACATACTTTCGTCTCGGAGAACCCACACCTGCGAAGCCTGTTAGGCAGTCCAGTAGGAAGAAGCCTGAACAGGGTACCCGACAAGAAACTCAGCAGGATACGTCGAGGATAGATCGGCAATCTACCCGGACCGGCCACAGCCATGGAACAAGTTTAGCAACTAGGCAGCCCAATCAGAATGCTCGTGTTGCTTCATCTCGAACAACCCAGCCTCGAGTTGCTACATCCAACACTGCTGTTAGGGCTAAGCGTAAACGACGTCAGCACGAAGACCCTGATGGAGATTACAAGCCGCCCAGGTCGAGGAGGAGACGTCAGTGAATACTTAGCCCCAGAAGCCCTGATTTTGCTGGCTCACTTGGGTGTCATCTTGGCTTCGGGTTGTGTTACTGTCATATTTTCGAGTGGACGTTTGTGATACTAGCCAACGCGGCACTATATCATGGATAGAAGAATGAATCCCTCACGCGTCAATGATCGGCTGGTATTGGTACAAATTGGGCCTGACGAAGGCTCTCATATGTTGGAAAGAGATAGAGAGATTCGAGATACCCAAATGCGAAAAGAAGCAATGCACAGGTGTGAATCACCCACGTGATCTTGCAATGTAATGTCCTGAATTCCAAGCTCTTTCTTGTGAAGCTGCGAGCGACTTTACGAAGTATAGCAGGTCACGCATCGGAGTGATGTATGCGTGCTAAGTGTCGTAAGAGGATCTACCTAGGTAGTAGCATTATCCAGCTACGCCGGGTAGTCGTCCGAGGTGTGCAAATCGTCCGACCACCCGGCCCGCACGTCGGATCAATCTTGCGTGCTCAGAAACGGGTTGCGACGACACCGGACCAAAAGCGGTGCGTACCAAGATGCGATTCTTCTAAGTCGATAAAGGCAAAGGTTGGAAAAGTCGAGGTGCAGATGTGGGGTAGTTTTGGAGATCGTGAGCTAGCAGCGCCAAGGACCTCGGCTCAGATCCTCAGAACCAGCCGCCCCTCAACAATCACAGGCAAGCGGCACACCATCGTCATCGCGTTATAAGTTCCTAGTCCCGCAATGGAGCTCTCTTCATCTCTGTCGACACTGCCACGAGCGCAATGGTGGACCTCACGCAACATCCCGTAAAGGCCGTGTATGGGCTCGGCGCCCTGGGCTTCGAGCTCGTGCGCTTCCCTATCATCCTCATCAAATTCCTCGTTCTCGGCCGTCAGCATCCCAGCTGGACTCTTCGACAAGCTATCACCGTACACGCCTTCTTCTCTGGCTTATGGCACGTGTCAAAGGTGCAGGTTGCTACGCCACTACCCCTGACGCCGGAGCAAGAGAAGGAGCGCTTTGTGGTCATTAAGCCAGCGAAGAATGATGCATACAAAGGGCCATTGAGGAGCAACAAGGATGTTGTGCCTGTGGAAATCGGGGCGACATGGTTTCCTGCGCCGCTGACCACGGGCAGCGATAAGAACACCAAGGTCGTTCTTCATATCCACGGCGGAGCTTTCGTCACTGGTAAGCAAATAGCTTCCATCATGCTTGAGATGCTTGAAAGCTGACTTCATTCAGGAGATGGACGAACAGCAGCCAGTGGCCCAATGGCCAAGAAACTCCTCAAACACACACCAGCTACGCACGTATTCTGCCCGCAATACCGCCTCTCCACCCTGCCCGTCTCGAAGACCTCGAACCCGTTCCCCGCCGCCCTCCAAGACAGTCTGACATCATACCTATACCTGCTGAACGACCTCAATATCTCCCCGAAGAACATCATCCTCTCTGGAGACTCAGCAGGCGGCAACCTCGCGATCGCACTCCTCCGCTACATCACCGACTACGGCTCCGAACTCAGTCTACCCGCCCCCTCCTCCGCGCTCCTCTGGTCACCGTGGACCAATCCCGCCGACACCTCCGGCTCTTACGTCCACGACAACCGAAACTACGCTACAGACTACATCTCCCCACCCTTCACGGCATGGGGCACAAGCGCGTATGCGGGTGAGGGCGGGGATAAGGTGCTGTCGCAGCCTTATGTCTCGCAGAAGAACCGAACGTTCAAGACAGAGGTGCCCATGTTTGTGAACACGGGCAGCGGAGAGGTGCTGTACTTTGATATTGTGGAGTGGGCGGAGAAGATGAAGGAGGCGGGCAATGATCTTCAGTTGGATATTGAGGAGAATGTCCCACATGACATCCTTCTATTGGGCCATCTCCTAGGCTTCAACCAGGAGGCTGTGAATATGGCTAAGCGGGCGGGCGAATGGCTGAGGGGGAGAAGATAGAAAGCCGACGCTTGCATGGTGGCGGGAACGTGAGGCTGGAGCGTCGCAATCTTGTGTGTAGGCGCTCGAGCGAGGCTATCAGGCTGTCGTGAGCCAACGTCAAACCCGCAATGTACAATTCGCTTGCCTACCTAATGGATCAACACCAGGAACTATGTCGCATAGATTTTTTTTTGACGCTGACATTGTTTTGATGTCAGCTCCATTCAGAGAATGTCGTGGAGTCTTGCTCTTGCCGCCTGTGTGTGCCTCGCCGTTGTCATGGCAGGCGCACCTGGACATCGCCAAGCACCAGAGCTCGTGGCCTCCAATCGTCACCAGCCAAACCGCCACACTTCACCGGAACGATGCTGCATGAGAGCATCATTCTGCCTTGTCGAAATGCGCGCAGCATGTCGTGCCACCGCTGTCGTCCTCGCGTCGAATAATGGGTCGCCACACATCGACACAGCCCTCAGCCTGATGATGGTGGGGCCTGGAACGACTGAGCAGCCGTACCGCCTCGAACTATAACCATGGTTGGCCGCGTCCCGGTCTGCCACGCCTTTGCGATTCACTTCAGAAAGAACAATGCCAGAATGGCAGAAAGTCTTGCTGCCATTGGTCTTGCCGGGAACATCATCCAATTCATATCTTTTAGCTTTGTTCTCGTGTCGAAGACGAGGGAATTGCATCAGTCCGCATCGGGTACATTGGACGAGAATGTCGACCTCAACATGGTGTCTCGGGACATATGGGATTTCAGTAAAAAGATATGTTCAACTAGAGGCTCATCGTCTACACGGCTATCTGAGATCGCGACTCGATGCGACACTATTGCCATAGAACTTTTGGATGCGCTTGCGGCACTCAAGAGTAGGCATAATGTATTGGGACCTGAAGATGTACCAAGAAGGTGGCAGAGCTTTCGGAAAGCTCTCAAGTCTGTATGGGGAAAAGCACACATCGAAGAATTGAAGGCAAGGCTGGCACTGCTCAGAGACCAGATAACCATGCATCTGGTGTCTGACACAAGGTAACGTCTCGTTACACCATTCGATACGCGTCATCATTACTTATGAAACGATATGAATAGTGACAGTCAAATCCAGCTCATCCAAATGTTCAAAGACTTGGAACAGAAGAATCTTCAGGTAGCCTTCGACATCACTGCACAGATTCAAGCCTTGGCCTCTCAGCTCCAAGCTACTCAGACCCATGTTCTGGGACTTCACGGCGATAATTTCTGGAAGAAATTGCATGATAGGTTTTCTCTGCTTTCTGATAACGTGCATCAGGCCTCCCGGTGTCACAGGATCATCGCCAGTCTTCGCTACGAGGCCATGCACACAAGACAAAGCGCCATCAAAGATGCGCATCAAAGGACCTTTTCTTGGATACACTGCGCTCGTGCATTTGATTCATCTTCTTCACAGCCAGATACGGGGTTCACTCAATGGCTGCAGTGTGGAAGTGGGATCTACTGGATCACAGGAAAGCCAGGTAGGTTCGAGTGGCTTACAGTCCGTCACTCCCTAACTTACCGCCTCAACAGGTTCCGGAAAGTCAACATTGATGAAATATATCTTTGACCACGAAGACACTATACGACATCTTCGTGTTTGGTCCGGAGATGCACCGTTGGCCAAAGCGTGTTTTTACTTTTGGTTACCAGGACAGCAGATGCAAAAGTCCTTGGAAGGACTTCTCCAAACACTCCTACATCATATACTTCAAGTTTGCCCCGAGTTGGCTCCAAAATTATGTCCGGAAAGGTGGGATGCTGGGCCTCAATCCCAATCCCAACCTCAAGCTTATGAAATCACGTCACTGAGCCCATGGACCCTCCCTGAGTTACAAAGGTCCTTCGCCTTGTTCCGCTCACAACCCGCTATGAATACCAGGTTCTACTTCCAAATAGACGGGCTAGACGAGTACTATGGGGACAGCTGGGACGTAATTGATACATTGCGAGACCTATCCACGGCTCCGAACGTCAAACTGTGTCTTTCAAGTAGGCCGTGGAACTGTTTCCAAGATTCATTCGGAAAGGCAACCCCACATATGCTTCGAGTTCACGAGTTTACCAGGCCAGATATAGAGCTGTTTGCACGGGAGAATCTGCTATCGCATGGTTCCTACATGATATGCGAACCAACCCTCCTTCAGAGTCTGGTACAAGATATTGGAGAGCGAGCGCAAGGAGTTTTCCTCTGGGTTCGCTTGGTAGTCAGATCGCTGCGCAACGGCATCGACAACGAGGACCCTATCCCCATATTACGAGAACGCTTACGTACGATGCCGTCAGATCTGGAAGAGTTCTTTGAGCAGATACTTGTATCTGTAGAAGATATCTATCGAAGCCGGATGGCCGGTACCTTTCTTGCCGCCATGCGGAGCCCACATCCCCTGAAGTTGATCCATTACTACTTCCTGGATGACGGAAACACTACTTTCGGGTTCGATATGCCCAGCAAGACGTGGCGACACTCTGAGATCCAAGAACGTGCTTCTCTGACCCAGCGGAGGCTCAACGGTCGATTCAAAGGTCTCTTAGAGACTGCCTCCGCGGATGATATTGGGGCTCAGACCAAAGTGGACTTCTTACACCGTACCTTGAGTGACTTCCTAGCTACGAAGCGCATGAGGGACAAACTTCAAATGTGGGCCTCTCAGGAGCCGAACACCTTGATTGCTATAAGCCGCGCATTGATCGCCGAATCGAAGTTTATCGATGAGCATACGTGCACTACTACACTGAAGCTAGCGGTGGAGCTGGCTAGTGCAGGTGCTCTCGAAACGGGTGATACATCTCATTGTTTTGAGGTTATTGATCAGGCAGAGCTGGAAAATGGGCGCACAAGACCATCCCATACAATGTGCGGACTGGATTGCTTCATGTTGCGGTTTGCAGCTTCGCTCGGGCATGAAGAGTACCTGATATATCGCATGCACTCAAGCAGTGTCGTGCTAGACCTCGATCATATCCTCAAGCACGCGATAGCTTGCCCGGTCGATGTCGACATCGGTGAGACATACGACTGGTGTTTATACGCCGTCTCCCCCCAACATGACATGTCAGGCCCACCCAGCGACAGGCTCAATCCATCTACCTCACGCCGGATTGGCGACGTGCCTTCACCGCATTTAGTGAAAGTTTTGTTTGGACTCGGAGCAGACCCTAATGCTGTCCTGGATGGCGCATCTAGCTGGACCATATTTGCAAGCCAAGTGATGAGCTTGATGGACGGCGTCCATTCAGAGCAATGCTTGACCGTCCTGAAGCTTTTCCTCGAAAAGGGCGTAGATGTGAAATTGGCAAATGTGAACTGGGTTGAGATACTCAATCGCAAAGTTTCTGACTCGAACGAGAGTCCGCTGAATACGTTAAGGTATCTCCGATATCTGTTCAGCCATGGTCTTGATCCCAATGCCCCAATACAGGGCACAACTTTGACCAAGGAATTCCTACGGATGATAGCGCGAGACTCTCCCCATTTACCCAGTGCCTCGCAGGAAGGCCATCACAAACTCTTGAGCGAATTCTTACGACACGACGCGGACCTTTCCTTGGTCTACAATGACAATTCCGATCTAGGATGGTTCTCAGGTGTGTGCCAAATATTGTCGCATCCCCAGCTGTCCTGGGGTGATTCGATGCTACCACGCAGCATACAATACCGCATTCTGCTTGATCATGGAATGGATCTGAACACTACGTGCGATGGTTGCACTCTATGGGAGAGTCTCCTTGAAGCTATGCACCGTGGCTTTCAGTGGGGCGTCAGGAACGAAGACCCCAACAGTTTCCTCTCCTATATCTTTCTCACTTCCTTGCAGTACGGGGCGGACCCTCACGTTCCCAAAATCCAACAATTGTTGAGGAACGAACCACCCTTATCATCTCAAGAAATACTTGCGGATATGAAAATAGCGGTAAAAAAGGCATCCGATGAGCGGATCCGGCACACTCAGTCACAATTACGTTCACAACCGCGGATAGACGGTCCATTAGGAAGGAGATCAACAAGATCTTCCGAGAGCCCACCTCCTGCTGCTCGGCAAAAGACGCGTCGATCTAAGAAACGTGATCATCAATACACATCGCATAGCACGCATAACTCCAAGTCTAAACGGGGCCGGTTCAGTTAGAGCGCAAGGAGTACTGAATCAAACCTGGAACTATGTCTAGGCCAGGTTGAAACACTTCGCGGTCCTGGATAAGCCTGGCTATGACCATCATTGTGGTGAAAGCAGATAGGAAGCTGCGTGTTCTTGGAATGCTGCCATGAAGTGCGAAATTTGAGCAATTCTTAAGTGGATGCGCGTTGTTGTGAGCTTCCTTTGGCAATGCGCCAAGCGTCATCCCTTCTGGTTCTCGTTTCGATGTGACGTCAGAGCTGTGCCGCCATCGACGAAGCATCAAGGAAGAAGGGTATGCGCCTTCCATCGAGACTGGAGCCTGCATTTATCCCACACTAGTCTACGCGCAGTCTCTCCATCAGTCACAGATACCGTCGAGTGTAACCTTGTGGTGCGCAATCGTTGATCGCATTCGACAGCTATGGAATCCTTGCCTTCACCCCAGCACGCCTATTGCTCGAATCCGTCCCAAGTCTGCGCTACATGCATCAAGAAGCACTCGCTCAATATGACAGATGAGATCGGTCATGGTGGTAGCAATATCATAACCCTCCGGTTTGAGCCAGAGGCGCTAGACACCAACGACAAGTTTCAGTTGAACCGCAAACAACGTCGTAGCATTGGCCACCTCATATTCACAACTCCAGAGACAGAGCGCCCGATAACTCTATTTTGCAATGGTCTCACTGTTGTTGTAAGGGGGCGAAACACTGTCCTACAAGCATTAAGGTCTGGACTGTTCGAACTCGTGCAGTCTGGCAAGGAAGATGCAGGTGCTATTATGCTGCCATCTTTCGCGTCATCTCGGAAAGGCCAGTACAAGATACTCCCTACGGCATTTCCACAGTATCGGGAAGTATCGATTAGTGTGTTGACTGAAACAACGCATGTTTTGTGGAAAGAGGTCTTGCAGCCCGGCCATACATACGGCTTACGGTTGTCTGAGAAAGCTGGCGAAGTGTTCGCGTATTATACGGATGAGCTTGATGGCAATCCTGAAAGCCTCACATCAGCGCAGAAGCTGCCCGTTCATCGTGAGGGAGGTGGCACATACTACTTCACCGTCCACGACGACCCGGCGCCTCCCAAACTTTTCGCCAGGTTGGAGCTGCCCCGCAAAGCTTATCTCAACGGTCCAACCCCCTTCACCCTCATCATCGAGTACACAACCGACAGCGACGAGCCCTTTGTGTTCGATAAGTCACGCTCTCCAATTTCGGTCACCAATTTCTGCTCCGGATTCGACCTGCACTGTATGGACCAACTAATCGATTGTCAGGATAATGCCACCGGGGAGAAGGTTGAATGGGGCGCCGTCTTCGTCTGCTGAGACGGTGATCCCCATCCAAAGTTCCCGGAGGATGATGATTTCGCGCAGATCTCAGCGAACAGACCGTGGCGATTTGAATGCACAATGGAGAAGCTAGGTAACGAAAAGGAGTATGTGCGCAGTATGGAAGGGCTGAAGACTGATCGTACGTATAAGGCTCGAGTTGGTGGGCCTTCGGGCTTTAGACGGTGGCAGTACGGAAACAAAGAGGATTTGCTGGCTGGGACACTAGAAGATAAGATGAAGAGGTGGGAGGTAGACAAGGAGAAGTTGGGTCGCTTGGACGTGGAAAGGATTGAGGAGGACCTATATTTCAAGACTGTTGCATGAGTAAGCGGTCGGTATCCTTGCGACATGCGATGATTATCTGGGATGTGGATGTTGCAACTCGTGATCTATTCTTACTTCAAAACCTATGCCTTCAGACTATCAGCATACTCCCTATATATCTGCTCGCAACTCTCATCAAACAACAGCCCCATCCTCGTCGCATTCCCAAACTCCGCAGTCTGCGGCCAGCTATCCAACAACCTCTTCGCTTCCTCATCCACCTCCTCCCTCAACAGACTCAGCTTCTCCTTTCCAACTACCGCTTCGAACGCCGCATACATATCTCCAAGCGTGACACTGATACCTGGCATGTACACCGCGCGAATATGCGCTGGCATAGCATCTGCGGGCGCCTTCATTACGCGGACAAAGTTCTCGATCATGACGCGTGGTGAGCAGATCATTTGGCGCGCTGATCGGTCGCTAATAGGGACGATGCATTCGAGACCGGCTAGTGGCTCGCGGAGTAGGCCGCTTAGGAATGCTGCTGCTGATCGCGATGGCGCGCCTGGGCGGACGACGACGGTTGGTAGACGCACGGAGAAGGCATCGATGAGACCACGGCGGTTGAGATCATCGATGTGCTTCTCCATGATGGCCTTGTGGGTGCCGTACACGCCTATTGGTGTCGCAGGCGTATCATCTGTAATGGGACCTGTCGCCGTGTAAGGCGGTCCGTAAACAGCCTGGGTCGAAGCGTAGACAATGCGAGGTTTGGTCTCTTGTTGAAGTTTTGAGATGGATGTGAGAACGGAGAGCGTGGCGTCTAGGTTGACCTTGGTGGAAAGCGCGGGGTTTTCTTCACAGCCGACAGACATTATGCCGTGGAAAAGGAAGATTGCTGACCATTGCGGGCGCATGGAAAGGAGTTTATCGATGTCTGATTGGGAGGTGAGGTCTCCAGCTGTGAGCTCTAGGTTGGTTGCCGATTCTGAGATGCCGGCTGGCCGTTGGGGTGTACGAAGGTCGGTCAGGACGATGTTGTTTGAGGAATCTTTTGCCAACTTGGCGGCGAGCATAGGGCCTAGGAAGCCGGCGCCGCCGGTGATGAGGATGTTGTTCGACATCTTTGGTGGTTTGCTCTTCGAAACTCTTGGATCAGGTTTGTGGTGATCAGGACTTCGATTCTGGGGCTCACGATCTCGGTTTGAGAGCTACGTAATGCGAAGAAGAAGCTGAGGGTATATTGCCTGCACAATGAAGAGATGGGCGATGAAGATGCGATGAAGATGCGGCCAACTGAGCATATATACGTGACAGTGTTGCGGGGATCGAGGCGAGTCATGCTCGTCTCGAGGCAGACCTGCTCGCTACGAGCCACAACTCAGATGCGCTAGCCCCAGAGCCTCCGGGAGCCGCATCTTTAGCCTGGGGAACCCCACATAGTGGTCTTTTATGGCCGCTCAGCCATATACAAGCAGGATGCCGGCGGTTTAGAAGTGGCTCTGTGGATGACTGCTTGAGAGTCCCCACTGTGGTATGTTTTCGCCAGCCTTTTTGCCCATATGCCAATCATTAGCGGCGCTCTGCAGGGTTTGACGCGCCTGCGGAAGAATTCGGTGTCTGAAGCGTTACCCCTCTCGTTCCTTTGGCTATGAAATAGGACCTATAGGTATGAACGTTGAGATGACTAATAACACGGACTACTCTGTCGCAGCAACATCAAGTCAATACGGCATATATTGCGCTCACGAGAAAAAGTCAATGACAAGCGCATTGAACATCTCTGGCTTCTCCCAATAGCACCAATGGCCACCCCAGTCCACCGTCACTCCCTTCGCGAGTCCTTCCTTCTCGCCTCCATTCACAAGCTCGACCACTTTGAGCGGTCCCGCAGCTGGGAAACATCCACTTCGGCTACTTGCTACAACCAGCACCTTAGTCTCACTACCGCTCTCTGGCCCGAAAGCATGAGCGATGGGATGTCGCCAATCGTTCGCCGTATGGTCAGCCATTAGCTTCCCATACCACCATCCATCGCCTTTCAGAGCCTCAGCGAGGAAGAACGCTTCGTCATCTTCCCACTGTGCCGAATCCGACGGAGGGTCTCGGGGCCGCGGATGAGATCTGTAGCCCAAGCACGCTGCGATAGTACCGAGGTGCGCCTCCTTCGGGTTGGCTATCAGTGTCTTTTGCATCGCGTTCAGTGCTTCTACATTGTTGCATCCCAGGTTCCCGAACTCAGGACCCCAATCCTCAAGATAATTCTGAAGTGGAGCTTGGTCCACGAAAACCATGTGTGAGAATGCGCCGGTCGTGAACAATTCGCTATAGCTCCATAGAATAGCTGCGCCCAGGCTTGTGCCTATGGCTTTGATGGTGCCGTCACTGAAACCGAAGAACTCGATCAAGTTCTTGAGATCCATCGCTAGGCGTGCCACGTTGTAGCCGGCTTTTGGTTTACCGGAGTCGCCGTGGCCACGCAGATCGGGAATGATGACATGATGAGCTTTTGCGAGTGCGGCAACATTGCGCTTGAAGACTGCGCCTGAACCCGTGAAGCCGTGCAGCTAGCGACCAATGTCAGGCCTGGTGGCGGTACGCGCTCGATGGCGGGGAGCTCACCAAGATCAAGGGAGCGGCACCGGGGGAGCCATATGTCTCGTAGTGCAGATGAATACCATCGTTGGCCGTTATATCTGGCATTTTGGAAGTTCGGTACAGCGGGGTGGGTCAATAGGATGAAGGCATGCATGGAGCGTATAAAGTGTTCGGGGTGCTTAGTAAGCGCTTTCCTGTCGCAATGAAGTTTAGCGTCCGAAAGGCTTGTCGCCGCGTACCTTCCAAGGTAAGTGCGCGTCATCACAACACTCCAACGCCCCCACAACCATCGCGGTCTATAATCTTCCTCGCACGTCCACCTGTCTTCGTAGCGACTGCTTGTTATTTCATCTCTATGCTCTGAGACGGCTCAGCGCTGGCGATCTGGCCCCATCTATATCACATTCCGTGACACTCGCACGACAGGGAAGTTCATAGTACCTATGAAGAGATCGTTCCCGTACCCGCATGATGTTTCCCTCCAAACTACCTTCCGTAAACGCATCCAAGTCTCCTCATTCAAAGTAATCTCGAAGCATTCATACTCGCTCATGCTCACGTCTGCACTCACCAACGCATAGTTTGGCAGCATCCGTCCTTTAATACGGTGACGCAGATACCCTATCGACCAGAAGCGGCTGCATTCTTCATTTTTATTCGAGACGAATCAAGCCTGGTCGATCTTGGCTTTTAACGATGGATTCGAAGACAGACGCTGATGCCCGGCTCCTTTACTGACAAGAGCGCACGCCTTACCCCGATGGCCATTGGAAGTACAGCGAACCTGCGACCGTCACATCGGGTTATAACATAACGAAGAAAGCTCACACTGCTGCCTTGAGCTGTTCATGTCGCGTAGGACTACATGTCTGTGTTGACTCCCTTCGTCTCGCTCCCACGCAAAACGCACAGGGTAGGTAGCACAGGTAGCACAAGGGCGTTGTTGCCTAGTAACGCGCAACTCTCCTCCCCAATCAGGGTGGGCATCTCGCGAGTACACGTGACAACGTGCCAACTCTCAAGTTCTTCCGACTTTTGCACTTAAAGCGCGCTCTTTCCTTTACTCACAAAGCCTACGCATACAGAGCTGCAGATATGGCCAGCAACAACCGTGACGACGCTCAGGCGGCTGAAAACATTCCGATTGAGCCTATCGTTAAGGCTCTCCAGGAAATACTCTCCCATTCCACATACGCGTGCGGCGGCTCTCTCAACAGCCCAATTACAATCCGCTGGGACTCTTCAACCGCCACCGAGAAGCTGACTCTACCTCTGCAAGTCGACAGCAAGGGTACAGTGGATAAGTCACTCGCAAAGCTCCTCGAAGGCACTGAACCTGCTGGATTCGGATACAAGGGCAAGGACATCATCGACGAGTCGTATCGCAAGGCCTCCAAGCTCGACACCTCTGCCTTCTCCACCAACTTCTGTCCCTATGAGACCGGCATCATCGATGTTGTTGCGCAAGCGTTACTTCCACTGTCTCCGGATCAGTCACAGGGTGTTCGAGCAGAGCTCTACAAGTTGAATGTGCGCGCCTTATCGCTTCCTCCCATTCCAATGATCGAGACATGCTGACAGTCAACTCAGGTATACGGAGCACCGTCAGGTCTGTTCAAGCCACACGTCGATACGCCACGTTCCGAGATGCAATTCGGCTCACTCGTCGTCTGTCTGCCGTGCGCTCACGAAGGAGGCCAGCTCGTTGTCCGCCACAAAGGCCATACCACTACGTTCGATTGGTCTGGCGACGCCAACGTTGCACAGTGGGCAGCTTTCTACAGCGACTGTGAGCATGAGGTCCTCGAAGTCACTGCGGGTCATCGCATAACCCTTACATACAACCTCTTCGTGCGCCGAGGTCTTGGCGAGCTTGCAGGACACGCCGACGCGCTGGATTTCAAACAGCTGCCGCTCTATCGCGAGGTGGCGAACGCTTTGAACAGTCCGGAATTCATGGCCAAAGGTTTGTGATAAGCTTAATCACTGTGGGAACATCACTGACATCATTCCAGGCGGTTACCTCGGAAAGTACTGCGATCATGCATATGCTCACGCCACCAAGGAGGGCTCGAAGGCTCTACCTGCCCTACTCAAAGGCTCAGATTTTATGGCATATGAGGTATTTCGCTCGCTGGGCATCAAGACGCGCGTTCGTCCCGTACTTTTGACTTCGGGAGAAGACGAAGAAGACGAAGAAGACGACAGGTCGGAGAACCGTACCGATGAAGATGACGACCAAAAGCACCTACAATTCGCGCGTATCGGCAAGAAGCTCTCAGCCCCCGTCATGTCAAGTGTTGGTGGCGACGAGGATGACACTTGGAGCGAGATCTACGCCCAGTACCCCCACGACAGACTTCATGTCCGATGGTTGAATCGTCATACTACAACTAATCTGCAGTTTGGCTTCCTCGCAGTGAGTAGTTTCACGCACGCCCTTGAACTTCTACTGACCTTTTACACAGTACGGCAATATGGCAGACATCAACTACTCCTACAGCTCATGTGCTCTCATCTTCGAGATACCTACTTACCAGGAGCGGTGCAAGGTAATTTACCCTACATGCGTCGCCCTGTGCATGGACTAACGCATATATAGAACAACCTGGTGAAGTAGCGGAAAACTGTCTGCATCCTCGAAAGTTTGGATTATGGATGGAAGGTCTTCGCTAGGGGCAGGCTAGTAGTATGCGTTGTCAAGGTCGTTTCGACTTTGAGAAATCTTGTGTGATAGACCGGTGCGCTTAAGCTTGCAGCGCCCTAGCCGTCCTACAGACACCTCATAACACATGTCACATGATATCATGATTCTCCTTCTACATCTTCAAGCTTTGCCAACTCCACGTGATGACCGAGCCGTTCTGAACAATGTGATTGTCAAACAATGCATGTTCAGTCACACTGTCATTCCTTTCACTCCTACTTTGTCTCAACGCACGGACGCCATTGTTCACACTATTACATCACTTCCACTCTCACGGTACTAGTGTCTAATACAGCGCGCGACACTCGTAGTAGTCGATACCTTACCGCGGCCAGCGTACGCTCAACCCGCTTGCGCTCCACTCTAGGTGATCTTACCCGCGCAACACCATCGCCCACAGCCCGAAAGCACTGGACAAGACTCACACTCGTTCGACTCTCCTGTATAATCGCCCGCTTTATTGCGTATACCTAGTTGTCTTGAACCGAAGTTATTGCTCTGGTCTTGAACGCTACCTAGGTATACCATAGTCTCGCTTATATCATTGTCATTAAAACATGTAAGTCAGAACTTGCGCCGGTGATGTGAAGCACCCCTGACAGCACTTAGTCGCACTCTCACTGCGAACCGCGAACATGGCTCCTCGCAAGGACGCTACCGGCGATAGCGTTTCCAAGAAGAATAAGGGCTTGAAGAACCACAAGAAGGCGCAGAAAGAGAAGGCGCTGGCGAAGCGCACCGCCGCCGCCGAGAAGATTACCGCGAATAAGGCTTCGTACGCACCGGTCGCTACCATCGTTATCAACAAGCCTGCACCTGTAGAAAGGGAGGTTATTGGAAATGCAGTACCGGCGCCCATGGTAAAGGCTTCTGCGCAGGTTGCTGTTGAGTCGTCCGATCTTCATCGAGACGAGTCGGCCACTGACGCGACGGTCTTCACCAACATCGGGGCTCTTACTGGATCGCACACTACCAGCGGTACCAAGACCGCTCCGCCGCAACCGCACCTCTGCACACATTTGCCCGTGGTTGTACTCGAAGACGTCCTTACTGGCTCCAAGAACAACGCTCCAACTAAGGTAGCCAGCAACCCTACCAAACTCGAGCAAGAGCTCAAAAGTATATCTTATCCCAAGACCGCTCCCTCTCCTCCAACATCCAACATCACACAAACCAAGACTGCCCCTTCTTCTCCAAAACCCAAAACCACACAAACCAGCATGCTCAACCCCACCGCCCCAGCATTCCTCTTCGGAAAGATCGTAGTCGCCCAAACCCCACCCACCGTCCAAATCACACTCACAATTACAAAGGAAGACCTCGCCCCAGGACCGCCTACCGAAAACGCAAAAGCGTATGAAAAGGCGTATGGCGTTGTCGCCCAGCGCAAGGCTCTTGAAGCCGCGCTGTACGAGAATATGGAGACGCCGCGCCAGAGGCTGATTCGCTGCAAGTACAGGGTTTCTGTTGACGCCGAATTCCATCGGGAGGAGCCGGTGTATGACTTTGAGTGGACGTTGGCCTTAATCGGCAAGCCAGTTCGCAAGTGTTTCGACGACAATGGCTTCCACATCACACCGATTAAGACTGGGCTGACTGAAGCCGATTTGACGGGTCCATCAGCCCTCGACGAGTTGTTCGCCAAAGTCAAGGCTGAAGGCATCTCCAAGATCAACGCTGCTATCTCCACGGGCCACGAATCCCCCACCCCCGGTGCCGTATCAACAAAGAAGCCAATTCCGTCTCGCACCCTGTCGTCCATCGAGGCTGAAATGCGTCTCGCCGCCCCAAAACGCCCTCCCCACGCCCCCTCGTTCGCAGACCCCGGTATCATCAAATACACCATCAACGGCCAGGATTTCGACAACGTCGGCAACCCTCTCACGGAAACCGTGAGCCAAAAGGTACTCGGTTGGCTTGAAGACCAGCCAACTGATCCACCGGAACTCTCACCGGGTTCTTCGCGGCAGCAGAGCCGGGAGGCTTCGCCACTTGAGCCGGGGAAGGAGGTCGTGGCTTTGACGTTTTTTTCAAAGTCTGAGTCTTCAGGGGGGCAGGTTTGGCCGGCGCAGGAGAGCTTGCCTTGGGGGGATGGGCAAGATGGGTATACGCATGGTTCGGGTGTCCCGGTGTACCCGTATGTTGCTTCTGTTGTTCGGGTTGAGGATGTGCTTCCTGGTTCGGGTGGAGAACCAGAGTAGCTTTTGTGCGGAGTTTTGTTATCTTTTGATGCGTTTGTAATTTTATTGGCTGGATGGCCTTGTATATCATCTCTACGACTTAGCGACGGCGTTCATGGGCTGGGGGGATGTGTCACAGAGCTAGGTATTTTCATGTTGTGGTCTACTTTAGTGGTAGCAAGATTAGCAGAATAATAATAATGCCTGGAGTCTACATTGCCTTGGTATCTGGTAAAACACTGTTCGAGGGCTTGATGTAGGCTGCAAGACACCTGTTCAACTCTGCTGTGTATGAAGATGTAAGAAGCAGCGAGTATCATTCGGCGCAGCTGCCCAGGTGCCACTGAACCATGGGCGTGGGGCTGGAAGGACCCATCGGGTCTAGACTGCAGGTGCGGGGAGCTGTTGCCGCACGGACTTGGGTGCCAGGGTTCCTGCAAGTAATTCGGCCAGCCGCAACGACCAAAGACTCGTCACATCGCTACCCAACATCGCTAAATAACGTCCAACTCCATACTTCGTTCTAGATACTATTTCTAGCACTACTCGTTATTAGTCATCATGCTCAAGTCAAAATGGGCTACCCAGCCTGGCGAGGCGGAGCAGTCAGCGCCCGAGGTCACCGTCGCTCAACCAGAAGCAGCGCCAGCACAGGTATGTTGACTTATGCACTCTTTGCCCCTGACGTCTCTCCCACTGTTGGAGTAGGTCTCTGCTTCATATGCAAGACTAACTCCCGCCAGATGGACAACACGTCCTACGACCCCGCCTTCGACGACCCGTCAATAGATCCATTCGCTCAGACGGCAAGCACAGACGACCTTTTCTTCGACGACGACATCACGCCTATCGCCGAGCCAGTCGTCGAGCAGAACCCCATCGAGCTGCAAGCTTCCGCCCCCGAGTTCGTTCCCGAGGAAGTACAACCGCCGACCGCACCGCAGGCGCACCTCGCACCCCATGCGCCTCGTGAGCCAAGGAACGCCGAAAGAGGAGGTCGCGGCCGTGGTCGAGGAAGGGGCCGTGGACGGGGCCGCGGCGGGCACAACACCGACATTCGACTGGAAGAAAACGGCAAGAAGGCCCCTGAGGCTCCGAAGGAAGCTGCGCCGACCGCGACTGCCCCTACCGATGTCGCAGACAACTCAGCCCCGCCTTCTGCACCCACCGAACCCAAGGAGAAGACCACACATGCCGTGCGCGGAGACAGAGGCCTGACTGGCGGCCCTGCACGCACGCGCCTGACAGAAGAGGAACTAAACACGAAGCTGGCCAATATGCGCATTAAGAATGAGGCCCGTCAGAGCGCCCATGCTCGCGCCGAAGCCGACAAGGGCAACTTCGAGGCACGCGAAGCCGTCATGCAGAAGCAGGATATAGAGCGAAAGAAGGCTCTCGCAGAGAAGCAGAAGGCAGAGCGCCAGAGTCGCCAACAGATGATGGGCGAACGCGAGAAGAACCGCCAGCGCAAGCTCAATGCCCAAGGGGGCAGGGAGTGGGACTTTGAGAAAGAAGATGGCTTCTCTGGCACTGGAGACGAGAAGCGACGAGGCGCTGCACGTGGCGCCCATGGTGGCATCGCACCCTCGAGACCGGTCGACAACGGACACAACGGAGGCGAAGACTACCATGAGCCTGCGGGACAGTCTAGCCGCGGACGAGGCAGAGGTAGAGGCCGTGGCAGCAGGGGTGACCGTGGCGATTACCGAGGATCCGATGAGAGGCCGGCAAACACTCGGGAAAAGCGCGACAACGTCCCGCCTTCAGCATCAGACTTCCCAGAACTACCCTCAGCCAAGGGCAAGGCACCTGCAGAGGTGAAAGAGAAGGTGAAGGACACAGACGATTTCGGCCTGCCATCGCCCATGGAGAAGGGACGCAGCTGGGCTGACGAGGTCGGCTCGTAGGAAGAGCAAGAAGAGCAAGAGCCGGAAGAAGCGCAAAGCTGGGTGACCCGATTACAAGAGCGACATCGGAGACAGCATGTCGCAAGCCTGTGGCTGAAGCGTCCGGTCGAATACACTCACAACAAGCGGCCAGGTTCGCATCCCGCCTTTATGTCCGACGCCGAATTTGCGGCTCTGCCAGACTGGAAGGATGTGCAGTATAACAGAGCCTACAATACCGCGTATCGCCCGTCGCCTCTCAGCTCAATGTCGCCTCTCAGCTCGATTATTGATTAGCTGTCAGCAACGCATGCAGCAACGTCTCCGCCTGGCTTCGCGCCAACCCCACACTTCGTAGCATCCTTAGACAATTCATCGCAAGTCGAAAGTGGCCCTGCAACCGTCGTCGAAGCTTTCTCGTCAGCCACCCCGCATACACCGGGAGCATGTGTGAACCCATCGCACCCGCAAGGAGCATATGTTAGCCCATCGCAATTGAACAGTGGTCAAACAACGCTCGTTGAACATTCGCCTGCGGCTCCAGTTGTTCCCCCCGTGGTTTCACGACTCAGATCAACACTGCAACAGCTTCGCCTTCTATCTTCAGCGTCGGCTGTAATATTGAGGGACCAGCGGAGATATGCTGAAGTTGTTGAAGTCGAAGGCCCGATGAGCCAGTCAGGCTCAATCGATTATGACATCTGCAGCTGTTCCGAGAGCGAGTCCGACGACCTTCACTTTGGAGATGGCCTTCCCCCACGAAACCCTACGCTGTCTACCATAGCGAGAACCCGAGACGGTCAAAGTCGCGCATGGATAGTCACACCAGGTCGCCTGCCAGCATCAGAAACTGCACGAGCGTATTTCAGCCACAGAGGCATCGCTCCTCAATACTCTCACTACGTCCAAACAGAGCCGTCTCGAGACGACATGATATTCATGCGTGGTGGAGCTGAATCAGAAGATCAGCTGGGCGCCCACAATGGCTCATCCCATACACTTCTCGATCCGAACGAGAGACCCAGGAGCCTACATGAGTCCTCAGCCTCATCACTTGCGCCCCCGGATCGCACTGAAGGCCGCAAGTCTGGTGATTCGAGGTTCACCGAGCTCATGAACGAGGATGGAAGTCGTCTATATGCCGAAAGTTTGCGTCGTTCTGGGAGTCAAGAGTTGAGGGAAACTGAGGCAGTACCTTCACCCTCACCTTCGCTAGCGCCAACAGCACCGCCAACTCCTTCGAATCGCACAGCACAGCCCGTTCCTGCGGCGCACCAAATCACAAGTTTACCACCATTGTCGTCCCAGCGCCCGGCTAATCTGGTAGTTCCTCACGTACCGGCGCGTGCACGTGATCCGAATGCGAAGAGATGGTATGTAGGCTGCGACCCTGACGGCTGTTGTTATCTATGTGATGTGGATACTGAATGTAGCTGTTCGGAGGCTCTCGTTACTACTTGCTTGGGGTTCTGTCCTATGCAGTGATGGAATATGGGGGTTTAGTAGTGGATAATATATCAGTCTGCCGGCTATGTTGCTGTGTTTGATGTAAATGTGAAGAAGTTGATATGCATGTAGCTATCAGGGTGTAGTGTGGATGTGTGAATAAGATATGACCTAGGCGGCGACGTTGTCGCGTTTGCTATGAATGTGGAGGGTTTGATGTAGATGTATCCGCCGCGGTACACCTTGCCGGATACATTCACACATGAGCTGAACGACGACGTTGCAGCGCTCGGTAGGCATATTAAGCGGAATAATACAACATATCTGCTATAGCATACCTTTTTAGATATATCCATACATAACCTCTATAACGACATCGTAGTGCCTGATATACATACTATACAAAATTATTTAACGTATCCGCCACGCCACAACCCACCAGATCTACACATACACTCGCTAGACTGCGACCTTGTCGCCTCTAGTGCATAAACCTCGTGAAATCATCCAACGTATCCGCCACGCGTAACTTCGCTAAACCTGTCCTAAGTAAGCTAGACGGTAACGTTCGTGATGTTACGCATGCACATAACGGTGGTATCGGACATGTGTCCGTCTAGATTTAAGGGAAACTAGAGGTATAGTGGTATAGTTAGGCATCTACAAGTGAATGCGTGAATAAGATGGACGCTAGACTTGCCGGGCAACGTTGTAGCGTTTACCTTGTGTTTGAGATTAGAATTGCATGTGTATCCGACTAGGGTCTAGGACATCTAGCAATGGCGAAACAGACTTAACGTCTTGTTCTTATTAGCTACTACTCTATTTATCTCCACATGCTCTCTCTGGACCTAAAGAAGATGTAAGCCAGACGCCGACGAGCAGCGTTTACTCTTACATTGTGTTTGGAATCGCACGACGTAGCTACTAGACTCCGGTATATATCGCGCGGTTAACGTTCAATCCCCAAAAACCTAGCCTGTCTACCTCAAAGTATGTAATAGCAATGCGTTTAACAAAAAGGTAATGAGACAGGGAGATCCACTACGGGGAAACAGACCTGTTAGTAGCTAGACAACGTATGCTTTGACAGACGCTCAGGCACGCATCAGGGGTGATGTAGGGTAGCTACAAAGGGGGCAGATCGGCATCCAACATTGAACGAGAACATGAAAGTCTTACATTTGCACAATATATGATCAAATTAATCCCATAGCGTAACCATACCTGCCTACATTCAAGAGCCGGAAAGACGGAGACAGTTACATCATCACCCCTCCCTCTCCCTCTCTCCTTCATTTACCCCCCACCCTCACACTCATCCGAGGAAAAGCCAAATCCAGACAAAAAAACGCCATCCATGCATCCCAAACCTCAATTATCCCAAACCCACATCTTGAAAACATACTACACCAATGCTTGCCCAAGAAACCATGATACGCCTAGTCATCGCTATCATACTCGTCGTCCTCAGCGAGTAGCGCAGGGTACTGGCGTCTTCTTAGATCTTGTTCAAGCCCGCCATCACTCTCAGGGTCGACGTAGCCTCCACCGCCTACAAGCGACAGAAGGACCGGAAGGAGAACAAGAGCGTGTGTTGAAGCCCAAAGAACGAGGGCGACCCAGACGCGGAAGTAGTATATCTCGAAGATCTGAGGACTTGTTAGTAATGGGAAATGGAAGGGAAAG